TTAAACTATAAAATTCTAGCTGAAAAAAATATTCGTTATAATAGCACTTTCGGTTTATTGAGGTTCGTTATATCGAGGTTATACTGTATCTCGTAATGTCCTGCGCCACCACAGGTGTAGCATTTATTTCTCACTCTTGACCCCTAATTATGAGCTTGAAACCCTGACCAAAAAAACTGCCTAAAATTTAGTTAATATTTCACAAATGAACTATTTAAATTTGGATTTTGATAACTATCCCAATAAGGCTAGATATCCTCTTTTGACTATAAGTTTTCCTTTTCTTGTTTTTATATGCTTCTGCTAATACTTTGGCTTTCTTAATGATTCTTTCTCTTTTAACAATTTATCTTGCATATTTGGCAAAGCAGCCGCTATATCCTAACCAAAATCTTCTGCTACCATAATATAACTAGCTTATCTGCCACCAATTTCTGCACACTAGTCACATGATTTATAGCATCTGTTGCATCTTGCAAGTCCAATACTAAATATAACTCCTTCTCAATTACATATAAGGTATCATATTCATGTTGATTATGCAATTTGTCGAACCTATTACTTGGCCAGGATTTATTTATTTCTACTTTATTTATCTAAGCTACTACTGAATTCAATTTATAGTCAAAATCCATTATCACATTTCTTAAATTTTTAAAATCTGAAATAACTAATTTTTCAAGAGAATCCTTCTAGTTGTTACTAATATCCTCCTGTAGCCATTGCTTGTTTGGTCTTATAGTATTTCTACCTGCCCAGACACTTGCTTCTTGTGTTGACATGGAATTTGTCAGCTTCTGGTGGGTATTTGATGCTAGTTTACCTGGGCTATTTTTTCTTGTTTGCTGCACATGTTCTCTCAATGTATTTATTTTGAGATCTTCATTCTTTTTTTCTAATTTAGCCAAATGTTGGCTTATATTTGCATTTATGTTTCCTGTACCTTTATTTTCCCTAATGATTAACATATTTGAATTTTCTGTGCCTGATGTTATATTTGAGTAAAACTTTAACCTCTGTATCAAATCTACCTTAACCCTCTCCATAGACAATCTCAAGCTTTAACAAATCTCCTTCAAATTATTTTTTGATAAATTTGATTCCTACATTATACTAGTGGTTTTGTTATTTTTTTTTTTCATTAGGTTTTTGTTTTTTTTTTTTCTGTATGTGTATATTCATTAAGTTCTGTTCTTTTTTTTTTTTCTATGTATTATTTTCTATTAGGTTCTATTTCATTAAATTTTGTTACTTCTGCTTCTTTTGCAGATAGAGCACTATGAAAGATTCAGACTAAAGTCAGGCAGCAAAAGAAAAAGCACTATTGTTCATATTTTGGCCCTATTAACTTATATATACACACATTGATCTTTTATGCTTTCACATTTAATTTTAAATAGTAATAAGGATTTCTTGGCTTTCATGTAAAGATCTTTATGATAATAACCTCAGCATGACTTTCGTCATGCCTCGGATTAGTTTGTTGGAGTGAAAACCATAATAATCTATATATTAATAAATATTAACTACTATCTATTTTACAAAATGTTTGAGCGAAGCGAAAAACATTTGACTGCTTTTATTGATGCTGACCCAAGTTTATCAGAGTCTAATTTGTATTACATCATTTTATCATATAAATAAATGATTGATATTAATATAATCAATAGACTGTTTTTTTTTTGTATTATATTATATGTATTAATATATATATATATGTTGACTTGTTTTCTTGTAAATTTGTAAAACATTATAATAAAGTGTTAATAAAGATGCAGATCATAAAATAATTGTGTTTGTTAATCGATCATTGTAAGTGTTCCATAATTGGAAGAGAGTGGTGGATATGTGATTATTATCGTATCTTTTTCATTCGTCTATTTTAAAATATTTTTTGCTTCGCTCAAACATTTTGTAAAATAAACTTCGTTCAAAGATATGATTCTAATCACATGCAATCTGTAGAGTAGCAGAAGTTAAACCTAAATTTTTTGCTTTGTTAATAATTGTAGATAGTAAGTTGTTGTGTTCTGAAATAAGATGTATCCCACATTAATAAAAGCATTGCTAGGCTTTATTACTTGACCAGTTTTCTAATGCTAGAATTGTTGGCAAGTTGACTCTAGCATTTTGGGCAAAGAATGCCAATAAAACACATGTGTCTTTAGCTATAAAATATGGGTTTGAGAGATGTAATATCTCTTTGATTTATCTAGAAATTGTATCGACTAATACTAGTTTATGAGAGATACGAGAGCTGATAAAGAGGTGTTTTTTTGATTCTGTAGGAATAATAAGGTTTTTTTCAAACAGTTTAGTGTAGTGGGTAGGCATAAGAGAGGTTTATCATTATATTTTTCTATAAAGACAATTTTTGATTGTTTACTCCTTTCTTTTGCAGTTGATATTTTGGCTTTTTTAGGCATAATATATTAATGTCTTCTTTGGAGTAGGTGATTGATATCATGTCTAGTCTGCAGAGATCTGAGAGGTAAGATTTTGTAATGATTGCTAAAAGGAATGCTGCTTTTTTGTTAAATTGAAGTAGAGGTAAATTTTCATTGTTCTCCATTTAATAATAGTGTCTAATGAAGAAACTATAAATGATATGTCATTTAAAGGTGGTGGAGGGGAATTCAAAGCCTAAATTCCTTTTATTATTTTTATTATTATAAAGTGAGACCCAATTTTTATACTAACAATTTTTTGATGAATTCAACTAATAGTAGTTCTGTATCCTGTAATTGTGTTGTAAGCTTTACTGATTGATAATTAGTAATGTAAAAACTTGTAATTTTATTTATTCAATAGTTATATAGATTTATACTTTTCTCTTTATACTAATTTTGCCATATACAAATATTAGATAATATAGTAGACAATGCTATAAGATCAAGAGTTTTTGAAGCTAGTTCAAACACTTGTTCTGAGTATTTTTGTTTCTGTAAAAATTTCTTGAGACAAAGGCTATATAAACTTTATTTGAAATTGGATATATATGTGACTGTTAACCTGGAAGAATTGTCTAACTTGGGATCTGTATTGGTCTTGATTTGATGATCTTTACTAGAGTTGAGTACTATAAAGCAAATTTTTAAAAGAATACTAATATTATCTCTGCTTTGTTTTGTAAAATTTTCACTAGTATCTTGTGTTTTAGACCCACAAAGAGTTGATATGGCTAAATATTACTGTCCATAATATTGTAAATGCACTACTTGTTCTGTGTCTAGTTTATTTCTCCAAAAAAAATATTAGAAGTTTTGAATTGTCAGTGTTTACAAATAGACCAATTTGTACTGGTCTCAATTTGGATATTATTTAATTAAATAGATAAGAGTAAACTTTCTGATTATATTTGTTATTAAAGTGTTTAATTCTCAGTTTGCTAGCATATTGTTTTTGTCTAGTATATAAACTATATATATTCTACCCAGGCGGACTACTTAAATTAGATACCCAAAAGGTGTACGTGTAGCTAGTTGTATCCTCGTGAATCTGATGTAATATCGTAACTATCCGAAATAAAGCTCATGCCAATGGCCTAAGTGGTCACCTTTAATATTAAAAAAAAAAAAAAAAAAAAACTATATATATTCTTATTGATTTTTCTAAAGCAAAGTTTTATTTGCTAACTGCTGAAGATATAGTATCTTCTTGGTTATTTAGGTAGATTACTTAGTAAGATTATTTAACATTACTTTTATTAACTTTTCTGAAGGTTCTTGAGATATTTGAGTGCTTTGAATACTACTAGAGCTTCTAGTATATTAATATAAAAATTTTATTCTATTAGTAATTATTTTCTAAAAAAAAATATTTTTTAAACTTGTTCTCTAACTAGTATGGAATGTGTCTGTGTAAATTGTTATTTCTAGAAGTTGAAGTATTATTAATATTCTATTTGATTTTTGTAATTTATTTGTTTATCACATTAATTGTACTTTGCTTTCTGTTGATAGTATATATATAGAATCCTATTCAGATTTTTTAAAGTGATATTTCTGTCACATAATAGAGCTTAAGATCTTAAATATACTATGAATAACTGCATTTGTAGTAAATATAAGTTTTTAATAATAGATGTAAGTTTTCAAATATGAATTCTTGCTTTTTTAATATAGATTAGCATTTTTATATTGTATCTTTAATTTTGTAATAAGAAAAATAAATTGCTATATTTTTTGAATCTATATAAAATCTAGATATTCTAGAGCTTTTGTTAAAATTAACTATGATTTTTATTGTCAATTATAAAATCTAATAATTGCAAGTAGTTTAAAGTAAGATCTTGGTGTAGTATAGTTTTCTTTTTTAAATCTGCAATAATTAAAAGGTTATCTAAATATATTATAATATAAATACTTAGAGATTTTAGATATTTTATAATAGGTTTTAGAACTTTTATGAAAACTCTTAAACTGGATAATAATCTGAAAAATAAGAAAAAAAATATGACAGTTTCTATTATAATTAAAAGCAAAATAAAATTAATTTAACTTTGCTATTAGAATATTCAAAAATATTATTTTTGATATTTATAGATACTATATAGTTGTTAGGTTAAAGTAATACTTCAATATTTTCTATTTTGAAATGCTAATACAATATATAATAGTTGAATGATTTTAAGTTTATAACCAAACAGAACATGCTATTTATTTTGAAAGCCAAAAAAATCTTTAATAAAAAATATAGTATTGTAGATAAGATTTGTTTTACATATTATCTTTATTTTTAAAAATTTTTTGATCTTTAATAAGATTTCAAAATTGAAAATATGGTAAGAAATAGGTTGAATATATAATAGTAATAGTAAATTCTATTGTATAGAAAAGCTATTGTTTATATCTTTTGTAATTTACAAAACTTTGAATAGAGTTATTTAATATTTTAAATTGTGTTGTGTTTTAAGAAATAATTAAATATATAAAGAGATTAAAACTATTTCTAATTTTGTTTCTGTTTGGTATTTGGTTTTAAATATATAGTTTGTATATTTTAGCTATTTCTAAAAAAAGAGCATATATTATCAGGTTTTGAATACCAAAATATAAATTATATTAACTTTTTCTATATAATAAAAATAATTTAGAAGATCTAGATTGCCTTTTATATTGTAAAACCTTGTTAACTAATTTGTTCTTTTTATTTTTTTAAGCAATAAGTTTATTAAATTTTGTAAGCCCACAAACCTTCTTGTATTCTGCAAAAGGATTATTTAATAAAGATATATATTTGATAGCATAATTTTTACAAATATTATTTGTATATATAAACTATCTAATAAAAAACTTTTTGTATTACAATTGATTGTTCTATTGCTTTCTATGATTCTGGTATTTTTTATTATCTTAGTTTGGTTTAAAAATATAAAGTAGATATAAGAAGATAAAGAGTTACAAATTATTGATATGTGAGTTTTAAAAGTAATTTGTCTATCTTTGTTGTTTGTTTTAACATATTTTTTAAAGTATATTGTCTATAGAAAAAGATTAAAAACATATGTTTTTATTGTGAGATTGTGTTTATAAAATAAATTTATACAGCAGCTAGTGTAGAACCTAGGGCAGACTACTTAAATAGGCAACCAAAAGTTGCATGTATAGCTAGTCATACTTTTATTAGTAATAATCAGAGAGCTTAAATAGGTAATCACCTAGTTAGGTTGCAGGTATGGCAGCTAGTGTAGAACCCAGGTGGACTACTTAAATTAGGTACCAAAAGTACACGTG